AGGGATTTTATTTTATTTGATGGTTACACTCTACTGCAAGCCTGGAGCAAAGAAGAAATGGTAGTCTGTTACATTTAGCTGTAGAAAACTGGGTGCTCGCTCCTTACTCACCCTTGCCCTCGTTTTCCTTCTCATTTTCTGTCTTTTCACAGTACAATCATGAACAGGGGAATTAATAGGATTTCTGTCCCGTAACGTCTGCTACATCTTAAGCACCAAGGCTATTCCATTTTCCTTTTCAGTTATTACATGTTCTTGGTTTCTACTGCTGGGTGTAAAGCTGTAGGCTGAGACGGAGACTCAAAACTGGTCTCCCAGAGTAAAGCACAGGTACTGCTAGTCTAAACAGTCCCCTTAGCTATCGTCTGTTACTCAGAAATACCAGCCCAGGGAATGACAGCCACCTATGGAAACGACATGGTGGGGGAAAACAAAACCATTACCTTGCATCCCAAGCTGGCAACACTGAGCAGCCTGAATTCTTTGCTCACAGGCCTATGCAGTTTTCTTCTATCCCAGGATTTTGTTATTCTGCATTATGTTCCTGGGGGTGTGTATATGATGAGTAAGGTATCTCTGCTATGGAAGTCCTAATTGTCACTTTGTATGTCAGCATACACAGCCTCAGGAGTTCATAAAGAGAAAGAAAGCACTTACAGATTTTTCTGTCTACATGATGCTTTTTTATTCATGTATTTTATTCATGAAACTAAGTATTCTTTCTATAAATAAGATTATGCAGATTCTTCAGAGAGCTTATTACTGCAGTCGAACGGTGTGATAGTACAGGGGCACAAATCAGTTTTTCTTCCATTATATTACAGTTATCAGAAGTCATCTCATTTTACCAGCCGGACTCTGTGACCCACTCTCTGGTATTATGTTGATACCTCACAATGCACTTTGTGATTCTACACTTTGTGCTACCTTATGCTTTAAGGTCTTTTATAAAGGTGATACTCAGAAGCATTAGAAAAAGTTACTGGACAACGTGAAGCAAGTGTTCAGAGATTAAAATCCATGAGAAACTTGTATGAATGGTCCAGTATAGGGAAAAGTGCTGTAGTTACCTTTAAATAAACTAAAAAAAACTTCAAGTACTTAGAGTAAGCAGAATGGCAGGAAAACACTTTTGTTTCCAGATGTGCATTGAGATAAATAAGTGAACCTGAGTAAAGCCGATTTATTTCATAAATGCACTAGGAGTTTGGATATAGAACATTATCAAACCACTTTAAAGCTTGACTCAAAGTTATTACTGTTACTGACAAGAGGAATGAACTATTAAATGAAATTTGTCACCATGTTAATACGTAGTTGGTTTGTTTTTTGTAAAAAAAAAAAAAAACTTTTCTTAAATTATTCATCTTAGCTACTACAAACTAACAATAGAAAACAGATTTAGTTAGTTTGGGGTAATAATGGAGGTATGAAACTGGATTCTGAGCATTTCTCCTCTATGTAACTTATCCCAGGTAGCAAATGAAAGAAGCCAAACAAAAGATTCTGATCAGTGCTGCTTTTGTCTGTCCAGACAAACTTTCTGAATTTCATTTAACTTGAATATTTAGAAATAAAATTTGAGTTAATGCAGGGTTCTTTCCTTGTTGCTGGGAGATGAATGTGCAAAAACTTTTAGCCTTCCCCTTCCAAATGTGCTGCTGTTTGGAGGACTTATCTGCAGTTTCCAAAGTTAGCTCATTAATTACAAAATAAAATTAAATTATTCAAGTAATTGATGTCACAAAATGGTCAGGAAATATCATTAACAAATATAAAATTCCAAAAAAATACCATCCGAGAACTTTCCCCACTGTTGAACTATATGTTGCAAAAGAATGTAATCAGAGTAAATCTCCACATAGGATTGCTGTTGTTGAGTGAGCTCTTCTCACGTGTTTTTGTGATTCTAATACACTGCTTGAAGAAATGAGCTATACATTTTGGGGAGATGCTCGCTGAGGAAGCATTTAAACTGCATAAAAACCTGCATGTATTTTAAGATAATAGGCAGCTTCGTAATTTCTTACCTTGGCCAGCTGTGCTTGGAGTTTGTTCTTCGCATCGGCTACCTCGGAGATGCGCCTGTTGAAAGCCAGGTTGGTGCTCGTGTAACGACTCCACGTCTCCTCAGACGCCGTCTCCAGCGCAGCCTCCGTCTCATCGTGGAGCCTCGCGGAGTCGGCCCTCGCGCGCTGAGAGGACTTGATATTGTCCTCGCTGAACTTAGCCCATGTCTCAGGAACTGAAACACTAGAAAGGTTTTTTTTTTAAGAAGAAGAAATTAAAATTAAAGCTTAGCTGAGCTAGCTTCCATTTAATGATAATTACAAAGTGTTTTTTTTACTGTGTTGCAGTCTTACACATAAGATGACTTTAAGGGTTCTATACTGGCTATTTTCTATATCTTTGTTTCATGCAGACCAAAGACTTCTGATCAAGAGAACTGTTCTGTCAATGGAGTTCCTATGGTTTGCTTAGCTGCTGCAGTAACTAACTAGAGTATAAGTAAATGTAAGTAAAATAACAATAAGAACCCCAAAATACAATGAAGAAGAATGAATAGCTCTACTTCCTGAAACAGAGGGCAAGTAAACTACATTAATCCTCAACAAAATCTTTGTTTTCTAGCCAGTGTTTATATAGCTGCTAACTAAAGGTCTTAATGCCCTTGGCATGAACTCCAAAGTAAGCTGATTTAGGTATTGCTATGTAAAGAGTGACCTGTTCTTCCATACTTGTTGCATATTTATACTTAAAAGTGCTTCAGGATCAGATATGCATGTCAGCAAGATAGCTTCACTCCATCTTTAACAGACTAGGTGGTGGTCTGGGTTGATACCTGCTGTATTTCAGCTGAAATTTGTCAAGTTCTCTGTCAAGTTCCCAAGTGTTAATGGCTTTAAGGGATTATTAGGGGATTTAGCATGAACAACTGAATACTGCAGACCATCAAATTAGTTTCAAATCCCGTATATTTTTGCAACTCCAAAGCCTTTCTCCTAGGCAGAGTTGTGCGTCACCACCGGGAGGCCCCACCGCAGTTCAGGGATGATGGGCAGGAGGCGCAGCGAGGAGGATGGTGGCTCCTGGGCTCAGACCATCCCTCGCAGGGGACGGGAGCTGGGCCCTGACGTGGGGGCTCTGACCCCCTGGGAGGCTCCCTCCTCAGAAGGCCCCGCAGAGCAGGCAGTGACCTGAGCCAGCACGCCCAGCACTGTCTTCTGTGTGTCACTGGGAGGAATTCCCACCTCTGCCCTAACTTGCAGGCTATTACAGCTAAACTTAGGAATATCTGCAAAGCATACAGAAATGGCTCTGCTAGGGAAAAGCCTGGGAATACACAATAAAACCAAATAGAGGGCTCCTGCACTGAAAAATACCATGCACAAGGGTTCCTCCGCAGGGTTCTGTACACACCCAAACTTTAGGCTGTTTGATTTCACTTCCAAGACTCACAATTGGCCTTTGTTATCATTATTCATTGAATTTAAAACCCAAATTCATTTTTTTTCAAACTGGGAGCCTGTGCAGCTTTAAACCTGCAGCCTGAGCCCTCTCTTTGCCAAAAATTTGAATCTAGATAATGTGCTTTAAGAGCATGGAAGCTCTTGGGAATATGAAGGATGGACAAAATATGTCTGCAGGTGAACACTTTTAATCCCAGCCAGATTTGGCCTTTAATGCCAATAAAGCCATTAATCTCTGCCATTTATTTCAAAAGACATATCCTCTCTGCCTCCCTGGACTTCTGATGGTCATTTCAGTGCATCCCTTTAACCACAAACTGCTGTTTATCTTATGGTGTTGCTAGTGTCTAGTTTGTCAAGAAAGTTTAGCCAAATCTTGTTGTTGTGGTGTCTTTTAAATTATTAAGGTGATTCATTCTCCTTTTCAAAGGAAAAAGAAGAGATGAAAACCTCACAATTTCAGAGTGAGTAGGAAGTTGTGGTTGCTTTTGCAAGGGGATAACCTGTAAATTTAATTTAAAAGAAAAAGAAGCTTGTGGAAGGAGGGGTGACATTAGGAAAGCTGCCCTGGGTGTGACACGATGTGGAGCATCCTCCTTGAAAAATGGTGAAGTGTAAGCTAAATTCACCTCCTTCTATAATGCATGCTTATCCTCCTGGATGACTTCTTCCTTCACCCAGAAATCTTTAGCGTATTTTAGGAAAAGAGATGGATATTTTACCTGCCAAACTGGAAGGCTGAGACAAACTCTTTCAGGCATTTAGACCTCTTTCATCATACAAAACTTCCCCTAAAAGCTATGCCCATAGGTTAAACTCTGCAGGAACAAGTCACTATTTTTGAGTTTAACATTTGCTTTCTTTACATTTTAACTGAACACTGAGAATAAATATTAAGGCAATATTTTTAGTACTTCCTTTCTTAGTGTACAATTTTCTTTTGTACATTTTTTTTTCTTTTGTACAATTTTCTATAGGGCATTCCTCTCTCTCTAAATTAAAATACTGATCTTACTAAATTAGAGGATTTGGAATTCCTTAGTGCTACATATTTATTTGGGCAGTTGCTCTGAAAAGTTTCAGACACCCAGCAAGCCATCACAGAAAAGAGCAAAAATCAGCACAGTAAATATAACCTGACTGTGCTTGCAGCTACTGGTCTAGATAATCTTGGTGTACTTTCTGGGAGGGTTTCTTTTCTTGTTGTTTGCTTTCCTCTGTGGCCTGATGGATTGTATACTTTTTATGATCATAAAATAAGCTTCTAAGAAGGTTTCTGTCTTGACTATCTGCAATACTTAATCTGTTTTTCTGCATTGCAGTTCCAGATTTATTTGGCTGTCTCCATTGAACGATTCAGGCAGAAAAACACCTGCTCTGCTTTGCTCCTGAGTGCTATAGGTATGTCTCAGTCCGACAAATGACTTCAGCAAAATGATAGCGAAAATTGGCACTGCTTTGGATACCGGTTGATGAGAAAGGGAAAAGGCTGTAAAACTTATTCACGTGAATCTACTTTTTTACCAGAGTTGGTACAAGAATATTCTTATTCAGGAATAATCGTAAAAGTAGGTGTTAATAGTGTTGGCAGATTGCCTGCCAGTCTCTCGGATATGCCTTCACTTCAATAGCGAATGAAAAGCAGAAATAAGTAAACAAACAGTATTGATTCTTCCTTCCTTCCAATAGAACAAAAAGGGGAACACTTGAGATTCTGGAGTACATTGACCGTTCAAATACTGCTGTGCTAAGGAGTGCTAAGGCTACTTATCAGTGATTAGCACAAAAACACTGCCCCCTATTGCAAGTTGGGTTTTTTGTCTGCCATTGCTTTAGAACTGGATGCAGCTTTTCACAAAGCAACTATTAATACACAGTTTTTAAAACTGTATATAACTTGTTCAGGCAGTAATGATAAAGGTGTGCCAAATATTTTTGGTCGTGCTGTTTAATACACATGCTGTTTAATTCTGTGTAGCTTGATGACCTAATTTCCAAGTGGTCCAAGCTCTTTTTATGGAAAATGCATGAAGTCCTTGGTGTACCTTTACATGCTGTTTACAAAATTGCACCAAAATGCACACCTTAGCTTTTCACATTTTTGCTTTTATTGGGTTTGGTCTTGAAACCAGAAGGCCACAAAACTGCATAAATCAAAACCAAAGGAGCAGTCTGCATAAAGCACTTGATCCATTCTGAAAATAACAGCTCACTGCACACTCAGTATTGTGGGTGCTGCAGACTAACAGCCTGGGCTCCAACAGGGGCAGTCACCAGAAGGCAGGGGCATAGTGGAGGGTCTTCTCAAGGAAAAAGTGCCACGCTGAGAGAGAAGCCACTTCTTTCTGTATCACTTCTTGCCTACAAGCTTGGGGCTTGTTGTGCGGTAATGGGGCTCACATACAGCAAGGAGCTCGAAACAGAAGGCTGCAATAACTGCTCATACTCACGTTCCGTCTATTTTCTCCACTCCATGGTAAAAGTTGATGCTGTCCGACGTGTTCCTCAGGTTAAAACACTTCTGATCAATAAAATGGGCTGAGTTTTTGTCAGAAAGATCTTGCTCCAGTGCATGCTGCACATCTCTGTTGATACTGTGAAGAACAAAGTCTTTACCTAAATATGAACCACTTTTTATATTTTTGTGCAGAACAGCTAATTCCTTCTATTCTGCTTCCTCCAATACACAATTCTATAGTCTGTTGGCATTTACACCATGGCAGGGAAATGCTCTGCACTGTTACTTAGCTAGAGGGAGCTGCTATGTCATTCACGCCTGCTCAATTTACAGCTCCTGGAGAGTATTCCCGAAAGGCCTTTATTTAACTCACTGCATTTAATGGAGCTTGTCATTTTGATGATAGCTACGTGAGCAAAAGGGTGAAAAGGAAGGGAGAGTTGTTCTGTGCCATGAAGGAAAACCTCAGAGCAAAGGGGAGGAGGCTTTTGGTGGTAACCTTCCTGCCAGCAAAGCTGCAAGAGAGAACGCCAAGTGCAGACTGGCGTTCAGGTTTCCCAGGTTTCCAGACCAGGGGGAAATGTCATTTAGAATAACTCTAGTATTCATCACTAGAAAGAAAGTCTGCTTAAATATTTCTGCTCATCTGGACTACTAGGAGAAAAATCTATTGCTCCATCTCTGCTTCAAATTCCCACAAGATGACTTTGGAATAACTTATTTTCCTTTGGCTCTGCCAGAGTCTGACATTGCTTCTTCACTATAATGGGAATAATATGGAATCAAAATTCTGCTTTCCAGTGCATCAAGGAGACTGCAAACATTCACTTTTTCTGGAAATTGGCTGGTTTTGTGATGTGCCTGTCAGCTGGCGTTAGTACCAGTCTGCCTGAGGTGGTCACAGAACTGAATCAAAGGTAGCTCGAAATCCCAGACAAAGGAGTTAGTTAGACAAAATTCAGGGTGCTGAGTTTTTATCTGATGATATGCTCAGTATAACACAATAGTGGGATGAGCTCCAGAAATGCATCTGACATATGAGAGTGCTATTAATCAGAGCAATCATTTACAAAACCTGCTTCATGCCATTTTCTCACATCACCTAACAATCAAGTACTGCTGTTCCTGTTTTAGCTTCCTGATCCCTGAATGCTCGTGCTCTCTCTGTCAAGTTTTTTGTCATGTCATGTTGTACAAACATGACTTTTTCATCTGTGTCTGTTCTGAATGCAGCACAGAGTGTGGAGTTTTACTTAATTAAATGTTAACATTGCTGTATAATTTGCTCTTACCAAGATATTTGCATACTGTCAAATAAGTTAAAAAGCTTCCCATAACATGCATAAAAATAATTTAGATTCTTTCCATAACCTCACTGATAAATAAATACCTCATGATGTGCTTAGGTGCCAATTTATCAGTATAATTTTCCTTTCAATCCAGTTTTGCAAACAAAAAATATTCATTTCCTTCTGAACTTCTCTCCAGTGTGACACATAGCAACATTGACATAATTTCGCTCTAATACTGTTGTCCCTTGTTTTAATGAAGGATTTCATCTTAAAAAATGACTTTTAGAATGAAGTCACAGTCATGTTTGGGAAGTCTAGTTCAATCACATCTACCTTATGCCATTCGAGAGCCTGCTGCTTCCTCACTCCGTCGCATGGCAGCTCTGTTCTTAGCACTCCCCAGAACAGACCTCCACAGTATGGAATGTCTTGTGACACTGGTTGTCAGTTCTTATCAGATGCTTATATTATATTCTATCATCAGTGAGAACTACAAGTGGAGGGCAATGACAGAGTAAGTCTCTTATTTTGCCTTTGCTGTTTTCAATCTGTCATTAGATTGAGTTAGCCAGCACTGAATGCAGTTTTCCTCTCTGAAAAACAGAATGCAGATTCTTACCCCAGCTGTTGATTGATTCTTTCTGCAAGCTTTCTCATTCTTGCTTGCCAATCCTTGAGTAGATCGACCTCCTGCAGTGGAGAATACCCATCTGTCAGTCCTTTCATTACACTTCATTTGTTTTAGGGAATTTATACTTTGTATTCTTCATAATCCAGATGATGTAACCATCTCCCATATCTCTGATGTGGATCAAGAGAGGATGTGTTTTGGTCCCTTTCTTCCTCTGTGCTGTCAAGCATGTTTATAGACTTCAATAATTTAATAATTTTCACCTTTAGCATAAAGCTAACCTCTTGCTAGAGTGCATAAAGCTTAGTCATATGTGAGTGAATTCCAAAACTGTGAATAAACTGTTTCTAATAATTTGGAGGTCATTAACACACCCCAAATTTAAAAAGAAAAGTTCAGTCTCCCCACTTGTGCAGAGTATGTAAGAGTGAGAGCAGCTTCAGAACAGGCTCTCCTGACCCTACTGAATGAGCCTCTGTCCTTTGTGGCTGTCTCACTTGGGAGGTAGGGCAAATAGTTCTTATTTTTCGTTTTGAACAATTTTTTTTCTTCTCTTCATGTGGAAGAGTACTAAGTATTTTAGCCTGAACTCTCTTCCTGAATTAAGTGCTGAATGCTTAGGATAAGCTCCTTAGTGCTTCATGAAAAACTCTAAAACTGCAAATTGCAAAATATAGGCTCTGAACAAACATCCTGATTATTTAAGTGGCTGAGACATATTTCCACCATCTTCTAATCCAGAATAATCCCTTGATGTAATGGCAAAATGACAATATATATGTATATAATTTTTAGTCTAAATGATTTAGCAATCACTTATTAACCATCTCACTTCCTTTGTTTAGTAAGATTATATATTGCAAGACAGTAGGCCAGCCAGACTTCTGAAATTTTATATACCAAGGTGTGGAAGATAATCTTGAAAAATATTTCTACATTATTTTCTAGGATCAGAGAAGACAGAACTGGATAAGACCTCCCTCCCGAGGGTACTTGCCTGTTCCTCTTGGCTCTTCCCACAGTTTGAGAACAATCTCAGAACTTGGATCCTACCTTTATGAGGCTCTTTTCCACATCATCATGGACGAGGTCGATACCCATGCGCTTCTCCCGGTTGTACAAGCACTCCAGGGCAGTCTGCAAGCAAACCAAGGACAGGGGCAGTCGCCTCAGTGCTGTGGGCTGAGCTCATTCTTTGAGTTGTGCTGAAGGGGCCACTGAGCTGACAGCTCAAGTAACGGAGCGGAGGTGGCTCCCTCACACGCAGCTCATCAGTGGCTTATCCCTACCTGCTCAGATGTACTCTAAGGAAAGCACATACTGCCTTAATCTCACCCCCTCGCCTCGCAGGGCTGAAGCTTGAAACTGTTAAACCTCTGTAAGGGGATGACTGCACAGCTGCAGTTAGTGAACACAAACTCAACCAGCCTGCTTCAGCACCCACCTCTACCCATGCCCCAAAACGGCCACGAGCTAAGCAGCTCCCGCTAACCAACCTTCAGCGGTCCTTGCATCTCGTCTGCAGCGCACTCGAGTCGCTTCTTTGCCGTCTCCAAGGCCTGGCTCTCTGTGAGCAGGTAGTCCAGCTCATAGACCAGCTCCGCTCTCCAGAAATCCAGGCTGGAGAGCCTCTGTCCCAGGTTTCTCCTGCTGCCTTCCTGCATCTGGTAGGTGAGCTGGTCCTTGTCCTGCATCAGCCGCATGGAATCGCTGTTCAGCTTGCCAGCCCAGCGCCTGGAGGCCTCGGAGCCTGTCAGCTGTGCCACGGTTGCCTGGTGCCAGTCGTGAGGGCTGTAACGGGCGTGCAGGGCCGACCGCAGCGAGGGCAGCACAGTGGGCAGCCGCCTGGCGGGGCTGAGGCGCTCATCGGCACCGGACGGCACCGAGGAGCCCTTGCAGAACAGGCTGGGCCTCCAGGAGCTGAGGTAGCGATAGCCGGGCAGGTAGTAGGACTGGTAGCTGTCCTGAGTGGTGCTGGTGGGTGCCGGGTCGGGGAAGAGGCAGGTCCTCCGCGGGCCGCAGTAGCTGGCGGTCTGCGTGGCGCCCAGGAACTCCATGCTCGCACGGCAGCCCGGGCGCAACAGGCCGTGGGAGCCGAGGGGGCTGCAGCCTCTGCGGCTTCTGCGGTGGCGCCCACCCCTGTGACACAGCCCCGGTGTCACACAGGCAGCAGATTCCGGGATTCTCGCCAAAATAACTGCTCGGAATGAGGTATTTCCCTGGCCTAAGGAAGGGTCCTGGAGTCAGGGCTGGTGGTTTCTGGGTTGGTGGCTGGACAACGACAATCTTCTGTTCTCCGGATACGTGACTATGACATGGCTTAGCTTATTCTTCATTTGGAGCAAATAAAAAATACATGTATGTGTATGCACTACATTTCAGCCTATTTTGTCTCAGGAAGCTAGCGTAACGTTATGGCCTGGAAAAAAAAAAAAAGTAATTTTAAATAGACGTCATTATAAATGAAATTTATCTTGTCATGATGTTTGAAATATGCAAGAAGGTAGGTGCTAAATGTAGGAACAGGGGGTGCAGGCAGGAGAACCACCCTGATCTGACAGGCCATGGACTGAGCTGTATAAACTGATACACACTGATACATGGGGGAAACCCTCTTCCTGGAGTAATTGAGCAAGTTAATTCCCAGCAGCTGCCCCTGAGATCACGGTACATTGTATGAAATACCCTTGTGAGAAGGGTCCTGCTAAAAAGGAAGAGACAGGCTTGGACTTTGTGGCACTTTTAGTGGGAAATGCTCTGAATGCTCTCAGAAATGGAGGAAATGATCTGTTGAATCTGAAAGAAAAATATTTGACCACGAATCTCATTTTCATATGTGAAAAGTCCTGAGGGCATTGATAAATCTAATCCATATGGCTGAAAGGAAGCACAGAGCATGAACTGCACTGTACTGAATTTTACTCTAAAATAGAGCCATTTTTTCACATATGGAAGGTGCAGTGTAATCTTATCAGACGTGTCCCTATAGCCAGTTCCTCCCACTCCAGACATTTAAATTCACAGAAATACTACCTTGTAATGTTTTTCGTTTCATTATTTTACCATACAGGCAGAAAATAATCGCAGAGCAATAAATGGAGAAACTCTGCAGCTATCAAGTGCTGATGAGCGTTCACCCGAAATGAATATACTTGGAACTGAAAATACGTAGCAGATTATTTAGGGATGACGAAGGAGGAGACTGGAGTTCTCAGCTGCTATCTTTAGGGGAGGCAGTTTTACAAGTGCACATCAAACAGACAATTCCTCATCAACGGTGCTGTCAACTGATGCTGGGTGATGTGTAAGACAGGGAATAACCACCACTGTTCCAGCCTAAATCAGATGTTATGATTTTATGCCTACAGGAGCGAGCGAGGCCGCGCTCAGAGACGGCCTTGCGGGCTGACGGCGCCAAAGCGCCGTGTAAGGAACAGGCTGTACCACAGCGCGGTGCCCCAGTAACGGGAACCACCCCGCCAGCAAGGCGCAGGGGCAAACGGCCCCCAGACCCATGTAACAGAGCCGCCGCACTCCCTGCCGCGACAGCCGCTTCCGAGCGTGGGACCTGCCCCACGGCTGACGTGGAGCCCGTCCGCTC